TAGACAGACAGACAGACAGACAGACAGACAGACAGACAGACAGACAGACAGATGAGAGAGTCGGGAATAATAAATCTGTGGATGATGAAAATGTGTTCAAGCATATAAGGGAGGGAATCGTTCCACAAGTACGACCACAGCAAAACTAGGCAACCGAATCAGCAGAACGCGGCTGATCCAAATAGCAGGTAGGTGGTACACATGCACTTACCGTATCCTGTTATTTAAGGTAAATGATGTACACGAACACACCAATGAATGTTTTAATGAACAGTACATAATGATAAGTGTAATGAGATTTTCAGATGAGATATAGAGCACTAAGATAAGCATGAACCACACATTGGAACCACTGTTATGTCTACCATGAAACAACGGTTTGCGAAAAACCAAATTAACTCATAGGTAAAGCAAGATATAAAAAATCACCGGTTAGCAAATGGTTGATGCTAGCCAGCTAGAGCAGTGAAAAACGAAGTATTTATACTCTTCTGGGATTAGCGAAGAAGGATGGACACACAAAAAATGAAAATGCCAACAGGCTGCAGTATAACAGTGCATTAAACTCAACTTAGTTGAAGGAGACCATTCAAAATTATGAGATTAGATTCACACAACACCGAATGTCACCTACCGAAACCCCACCTAGGCATTTCGCCTTCTGATTCTTGTTGCCTACACCACGTTGCACAATTCTGGTGGGATAATCGTGCCAAAACTCGGCACAGAGTGTCGGATACTTACGGTTTCACACGCGAACAAGTGATTGGCGTTCAACGATTGCGACAGAAGGAGCACGTATTTCGCCTGTCACCAGACTGATCTCCTTAACTAGCAATCGTTGGAAGAAGGAGATGGGGGCCGGACTTGAAATGGAAGTATGATAACCCTAATCTGGGGACTCAAGCACATACGTCAAATTAGGTTTTTCGGAATGAGGACCTCTTGACCAACGTAATTACTTGTGACAGTTACTGGGTGATATGACAGAGCATAGTAAACTGTAGGGCCCGGGCGGCTACTCGCTTTCTACGCGTATTCAATCTACTTGCTTTCATTAGTCTTATTTTGAAACTGTTTTAAGCAGTCCAGCCGCTCCAATCGCCCCTTCCTCATCAGTCGACTAAATGAGTAGCCCAAAGAAAGAATCCCGCATCAGGGTACGAACGGGAAAGTTTAACTATTGTGCAAACTTTCCTGAACTGAAACACAAGCAGCAACAATCCGTGAAGATTGCTCAACTGTGTCAGAGTGATTCGCGTTCAGGTTCATCTCTTTATGCAAACAATACTTAAATATCTTGATGCGAAAACAGCGCGCAGTCAGATCCTGAAAGACGGACCCGTGGTAAATGATAAGTCTTAGTTTGCGTAGACAAAATACACGCACAATTTGGTCTGGTGTCATGGAGCCTTATGGTTAATGGTTGTACAAACTGGACTGAACTGATGTGGGCGTCAATCGCGGGATAAATAAGCAGAAATGGGTCAAAAGAAAAACATACAAATCCATTTGCATAGAATAATACGCTATCTTTGGATGCGCCGCAGGCTTCGGAGTGACATGCATCAGTTTGTGCCGTAACGCAAACAGGCAAATCATAAGAAAAACATCCCATTAGAGGTCATATTGGTGATGGTACGCGAACGTCGATTGGTATGAGTAGGACACCAAAATGATGGGGATACATATGTGCATACTTCAGATTATGTAATCCCAAGCAGTAGAGGTGTTCGCTACTTGCTAAATGCTTTCGAAAAAGCAATATGCCAGGGTGGAGGGGAATAATTCGTACAGAGTATAAAATATATAAGGAAAATCAGTGGTCTTTGTGCATAGTTAGGTATTGATGGAAGTAGTTTGTGTTGCTTGACGACCAAAGAAAACATCCCCAATAAAATAAACACCGTTTTCTATGTGGTCAGGAACAGAAAGGTGATACTTAAGGTGGACCGTAGAAATTTAGCGACTTGTCCAGTTTCGGTGAGACCTAACAGAGGATGCAAATTTATGGCTCACACATGCAAATCTGTCAACTGTCTGATTCAACCAGCGCTCACTCACTTTGACTTTCNGACTTTCACCTCAGCCGATTTGTTCTCAAAACTATCTTGCAAGAAGTCAGCGTCCAATTTCACATGGACCAATTCAGACCAGATAGTGGAGTTTTTCAAATCTTTCGGTTTCTCTTTGATCTCTTTGCCCCGATTGGTGACTGAGGCAAAAAATCGACTACCGATCCCTCGTCCACCAGCACTGTCCGGTTTGTCTTGACCGGGGGTGTTTGCTTTAACACTGGCAAGTAGTTTAATGTCTTTCGGTGTAGGTTTCCATTCGGACCAATGCAATTTGATGGTTTTCTTAGATTTGGGAAGCTCAGTTCCGGGGGCAGGAGGCAGATTAACTGACGGAGTGGCTGCACTGGACGAACCACCCGGCGGCGGAGGAGGAGGAGGAACTCCACTACCTAAAAGAGACGGCAGCGGATGATAAAAATGGGGAAATATCATCATACAGCTGTTTTCTGTCTAAACAATGATTTTTGGATCAAGTGATGTACAAAAAAACGAACGTATCGATGTTTGGTTCTGTGCATGACAGTCAGTTACAAATGAACGGTGACGTTTCATCATGGGTAAGTTCCTGGCAGTAATACAGCACAAGTACTCGATTAATCTTATTCATGAGCGAGAAGGATGTATACATTGGTGCATTATACAGTTAAAGCCAATGCAGATCAAAAGAACGATTTTTTTAATGTGAATATAAGAAGATCTGGAATAAAAGATTTAAGACACAATACTATGAAAGCATTTTTTCTCGGGAGTATGATCATGGAGAACTGACTGCATTGAGACCAAAGAAAAAGCATATGAATAGTCTTGACTACAGTACATGCTTTTCACAATCCAATGTTTTTCTGCTGATGTATTCTTCTACCTCTCCTTTGTCAGATTTACTTGATGATACTGAAATATTGTGGCAAGGTAGCCAGGTCGGCAGATCCAAAATTCTTTAGTTCCATTCGCAATCAATAAGTATTAAATTATATAGATTTCTAGCTGACTCTATTCTTTTCTTTGTACTACATATATAGCGTGATTGAAATAATTTGCGAAGAGAAAGCGGTCAATTAAAAGGATTGTTATACATAAAAATACAGGAAATCAAATGACCGTGGTGGGATTTAAACACGCGTCCTCCAAGGTGATAAGGAGGTGATTTTGGCCGCTTGATCATCGCTGCCCAAGCATATACCTCATCCCGGCTGAAAATAAGTTTTGCAGGGAGCGGGCAAGTAGTCGTGTCGTCAGGCCTATGATAGGTCAACATTCAGTGAACTGGCATCCAGTGAACACACAAGACAGCATCAAACAAATCAGACGGAGGTAAACAATCAGGTCAGCGAATAAAGCAACGTTGAGAATAAATAAAGGGCTGTGTTTATATGACAAAAGTTATAGGAAGTAGAGAGAAAACTGCATAAGCATAGAAAGCGGTTAGATAACGATCTCTTTAATCCATCCTCTAACGCACGTTGGAGAAACTTTAGTCTACAGTTTTACTTGGTTCATGAGCATACTGCACATTTTCAATAAGATAAACAGCCTATTGTTATAAGTCCAGATTTAGATGTTCACATAATATACTGACCTATAACACTCATCCAAAGAACCATATTCTATTTACGCTTGTATCGATTTCCTCTAGTAGGACTCCATAGAAGTTTTTCTCCGCTAGAACTTCGATCAATAGCCTTGTGGTTATGTGTCTTCAGTACCTAATGGGCTAAAACGCTCCTGAGACTGTCAACCTTCATTGATTATTTTAGCTTTTGTCTTTCATACTTTCTTTGTAAATCACCATTATTTTATCATACGACCACCGTGGTCGATGATTCAATAAAATTGTTGTTAGGTTTGTGAATGCATGCGTACTACCCCACTGGTTGTATTTCTCCCCAGTGATTTTTCCCGGCATGTTGAATAAAGACTTTAGTTTACTGGCAAGATCTCTGAAACACATCTCTAAATGCAGTGACATTGTCAGGGATAAACTCGCGGATTCTCTCATAGACAGACACCCACAACCATGCGAAAGTTTCACTGCCAAAATACTCCCAGACACTTACCACCCATTACACTAAGAATTTCAAAAGCTATATCTACATCATCCATACGCTCAAGATTTAAACTTCTATTTGCTCGTACCTCTGCTAATCGTAATTCTGTTCTGCCATATCCAGCACATTTTCTTATTGACAAGGAGCAAATTTCCGCAGAACTGCGAAAATGCTTGCTTTATTGACAAACACAATTTACTGCTTTCAGTTTCGTCATGTAATGATTTCGTAAATATGAATCCACAAATATGGTGTAAATGCTGAAAATTCACCCATCCGGGTGCATAAAGCTACTATTAACTTGACTTGACGTGAATACTGAAAATGTTATCGCTATGCAAATATAACAATCGGTACCGTGAGTCGACTTGAGCAGATAACGTGATCCTGAACTTTGAATTTGGTGCATATACACAATAATAAACGAAAACTTTGTGAAAATATCAAAAAACAAAGATCTCTTCCGTATTTCAATGTGTACAGTGAATAATCATCTTTCGATTTTTATGCAGTATTCTGTAAGAAATGAACTAGGTACAAAAAGCTGTCCCTCTAATTGTGACTTCATAAGAAACAAAGACTTGAGCATCACTTTTGGCGTACCGCTTTCTTGCAAACAGAACGCACGCGATGTACGTTTTCGTACCGATCTGAGTATCCCTGCCGTCAAAACTATCATAAATCACGTCACAATCACATTGTGATCTTGACTCTGCATCACAAACACGTGACTTGAGCCATCAGAATCACAACAATGTAAGAGCAGCATCCGCGAAAAAAATAAACGCACACACAAACACAGAATAAATCAGTTTACATAAACAGGATAATAGATAACCATTCTGTAGCTGTGTCCTACAATGATTCACTAATGCAAACACTATTAACTGAGTTTGCTCTGGGTAATACTTTTGGTAAACACCGGCCATCTCAAAGTTTTATATATAATGGGCAGCGATCACCGTCAATGTAGATATCATGCATAAACCATGACCTTAATAAAAGTTACTTACACCCCTAGAGTTCAAACCAGATGAAAATCAATGCGAAGTTCTACTCATTGTGTTCCATGTTATCAGATAACTTACTTAGGGGTGGAGGTGGTGGTGGTGGTGGCGGAACACCGCCGATCCCAGGAGGCGGAGGTGGCGGCGGAGGTATACCATCACCCAAACTGGGTGGTGGTGGTGGAATACCGGATACCTTGGGAACAGACCCGGTAGACACCGAGTCATGAGACGTCTCCGGTTCTTCCGGGTCAAGATCGGTAAAATCGAAATCGTGCAAACGTAAAGGTTTACGCTTGACACGTTCCATACAACCCTCCCAAAATGCTTCCACATTTGACTCGACATCTGAAGTAACACTGGGGCTGACCGCTCCATCAGCTATACCCTAAAAACGAAAATCAATACTTATCAATCTTTGATTATTCAATATTTTGTGGGTCGGCGTTACTTTTTTCCGGTTTTGTTTTATTTTCAACTTAACTTATGGTATTCTAAACGTCAATGAAAATGGATCGAAGTAAATCGGGTGCGAAATAACAAAGGTCCTGTAGGACCCCCTGAACACCAGACCGTTTTGAATGACCACACAAAATTCAGAGGTGAAATTACTAGAATCAATGACAATTCGATTGCGAAATATCAACCTTGACAATAATACAATCTAACTTTCTCATTGAATACATAGAATATTATTCCTTCTTTTCAAAACTCTCGTTGTTTAGTTTCTGTAATCACCGTTTCATATAACAGAAAATATTTAGCTACTTTTCGTTCAAGACTTAATGGTTTTAAATGAGTCATTGATACGTTCTGGAAGTGCAGACGTTCAACCGATAAATGTTCATCATTTACTACGGTCATGGGGCGTCTCAAATGCGATATCATCAACTTCCCATAATTAATCTCAATGGCATATGTGCGGTAGTCGCTGCGAGTCCAGTGGATGTTGTTCGACTCACTAGTGTGGGACCAATGGGACAAATGCAGATCGTATGAAGTCAGATTGGCCACGTGAGAATATGTATTATATTGTGTGTAACTTGTTCGCATTAAAGCCATTCCTTGCACACAGTCAGTTCATTCCACAGAGAGAGAATGCCGACATACGACTGGTTGCTACGATCCGATGATGAATCAAGAGCAACAGTTATTCGATTACCATCGAATGACAGATGGTAACTGACTACGACATTTTTTTCAAAACAAAACCTGCGAAGGATCAACGAACCGAACTGTAAGCAAGGCATGTACTGTTTTGATTGCACTCGAAAGCAGCAGTAACAGCAACAGCAACAGTACCAAATGAGAAATTGGCATCAAATTGGGAGTCATTTAATTTCGTTTAACAAACACGGAAACCGATTCAATATGTAACTGAATTGAATTGCTTCTATCAGCGTGGCCATTTGATATTCATATTCTGTAAATAATTTGCAACACATAAGGTTCGAGCTTATTCATCAAATTTCCACGTCTCATCGTCCCTTCAAATATGTTTCCTTTGATACAAATAAATCCTGTTAAGGACTTCATGTAGATTACAATGACGACTGTGGACGGTATGTCCGGCATCGTACCGTTTTTGTTATTCAACGGGACAACTTTATTGCTTGCATATCCGTGTCAAACTTTCAAGCCCGCTGGCTAGTAGTTTCAGTTGAATCCCCTTCTGTGTTAGAAAGCCTGACCGGGTAGGCAGTCTGACCAGAATGGGGATTAGAGTACTTTATTTGCGGCTGGTCCCGTCGCGATACTGCGATCAGCCTGTTGTGGCATTTTTGCCCGAAGGAAGATTGCCGAGCTAAAATCATCACGCCTTCACGTACTGTCCATACTCGCTCACCGCTGTTGCTTTATTGAGTTTCAGATCGTCTCAGTCTCAGCTAACCACCAAACAGTTAGTCTTTATCCCACCCACTAGCAGATGATGAGCACCAGGCAGTATGCAGATCCGGTTCTGGTCGTCTCTGACGCTGTTTTAATTCTAGAAAGCGGTGCTCGGTCGTGGATAGCTGTTTATTGTCAGTAACGGTCACGATATGGTTGAATTGTCATTCATATAACAAAATATCTCATTTGGAACAAGTTTGCAGAATTCACACAGAATTCACACAGTATGCGCAGTCTAACGGTCCACTATCAGATGCACATTCTTGTGTTCACTGTAGCAAATAGCAATAGTTTGCTCCAACAGGTCTTGTTCATTTTTGATCGTTGAAAGAAACCGCTGATCGCAATATTTTGCGTTCTACTCACGAGTGAGTAGTACCTCACAACAACGGTCCACTCTTCCCTGAAACTATGCAATATGCTGTAATTGAGTATGGTGGTCGCTGAAGCACCGAATGCAAGCTTGTTTACAACACACTTGTTGTGCTTCTAACGAATGTATATAAACTGTTCCCTCAGACAGGAAGACTTGAGCAAAGCGCATAATCAATCGCTCTCTGAGGGACGGGGCTTTCGATCCACGTAAAGCCTCAACCGAATGTATAAAAAAAGTAAAAAAAACTCTGATCAGGAATACTCAGCTCAATATTAATGTGGTGTAACAGCAAAACTAATTGTCAATACATGCGTTCTGTCAAACATCAAACGCTGCCTGATGATCAATATTGTTTGTATTCAAATAAAAGCACTATAAATANTATAAATATATCTATCACTAAAAGCAACAGGCCTCAATAGAACAGTTTCACCTAATAGGATAACGCATCGCACAGACAGTTCACGAATATGACAGTTTTCAATGAACACAAGCGCTAGTTGGCCTCACAATCCATATTTTAATTTTTACTTTTTAGGTAATCTCATTTTCACACGACAGAGTTTAGCTAACAGTTTCACGTGTGTCATGAATTATACGACTCCACTGAGACACTTTGCTTTCACATCTCTCATCGGTTTTGTGATTCTGTCTGCAAGTACCATCCATCTCTCTCCATCTCACATCCCGCGGAGCTCTTCGCCTCAAACACGATGCTTTCTGTTCTAGGATATATACAGGCTGTCAATCTGACGCTCATTGACACAAACAGTAGCCACTGTGTCACAGTAAGCGGAAGCACATAAGAGGACCTATGAGAAATTGACATCTAAGATAATCGATCATATTACAAAAAGGAGACCGAATTTACCGGATGAAACGGAATGCTGTTTCTCTCTTTCGCTCACCGATATGTAACGGACCACTTTGTGGTTATGTGTGCTGTTACCTGTGGAATAGTTTATGCGTGTATTTATCTATGTATGAATGTGTGCGTCCTTCTCTGTATGTGAACGAGTATTAAAGATCAAAAAACGTATACCAGAACAAAGCTGAACAGATAGACAGGTTTAGACAAAAGGGGTCACAATACGGCAACAACGACAAGAAAACATCATCCCATTGCAAAATTCTCTCCACCTCTCTTCCTACACATGCACACATTGCTCCTTTTTGGAATTCATTTCACATACATCTATTTCGTGTACATACCTTTCTGGACTGAGCACCGGTTGCGCTGGGCACGCTTGGTGGCTTCGCCGCCATACCAGATTCGAAACGTTCCTTTGCTGACAATATCATGCCACTTCGTTCTCGAGGAGCTGGTACTTTGACTGGCTCCTCCGGCTTCACATATAGATGGCAAACAAAAATGAAATGGTTGACGATAACCATGACCGAATTCAGGTAAAACACGTTCTTTGATTCCAAAAAGACAAGATATATTCACTGGAAAGTTCACCAATTTTTAAAAACTAAAAACAAAAGACGAAACCATGAAACAACCCTATAAACGATGCTGGTTAAATCATATCTGTGGCTTCCGATATAAACTCTCAAACTTAAGGAATAAGCTATTTGTTTATGTTTGTTGCTCTTTGCGTAAGAAATATCACCACCTAGATCAATTTTGTTTTACTGCATGCAAACAAGCAAGTCAAGAACAATGAGTAGAAAAAATGCACCAAAAAGAAAGAAAGGAGAATGAACCAGAAGGTACGGGAAAAACGGCTTCTCCTGGAGCCATTGAGTCATACAATCTATCATGAACTTGGCTAATACATTCCCCCAATCAGAGTTCGCACACACGCCTCCATCTAAGCAATAAATATGGCTACTTTCACTGAGTTTCAAGCAATGTGAAACTTAAATACGCGATAGAAATCTCAGTGGAGATTGACAAAGAGAACTGGACACTTGTTTTTTCTGTTTGAAGCTCGTCGGCAGTGCATACTGTGTTTGTCTCTACAAGAACTCAAACCGCAAACCTCCGGATCGGAAATCGGATCTCATACCCACGAACTACACAGGCCGGCGCTCATTATCTTGAGCGAATAGCTCAATAGGGTC